TTTTTAATAACACATAATAGAGCAGCAATTGACGAACAACTCTTTTTAAATATTTTAATTATTTGTTTAACTTTTTATTCCGCACTTGTATAAAATTTATCATGTTGTATATATTTATATATGTTATATATATATATATGTACATAAATATTTAAAAAATTCCTAAAACTCGTTGCAAAATACAATACTTATCAAAATGTGGATGTACATTTTTTATGGACAGATAACGAATTGCGAGTATCTCCAATGGTCTGTCTCGTCTACCAAATAATCGAATAACAGGCGAATGGTGCAGTGGATTTTCGACTCGGTTTCATTTTTTCCTTATTTACATTTTTTATAATTTGCGATTGCATATTGCGGTTGCCAAACGGAAGTTGCAGCTCGAGTTGGTCAATTTGTTTGGCAGAGGTCTACTCGGAGGTTAAAACAATAAAAAACTATAGCGGAAAAAATTTTTAGGAAAAGTAACAAAAACATTTTGATCAGCAATTTTGGCTACACTTTATCGAAAAATGTTTGTTAAAAAAAGAAAAAATATAAATAAATGAATGACAAAAGAAAAAAATGAAATTTTGTAGACTGAAAAAACGCAACCAATTTGTCAACATGTTTTGCGGTGCAAATTGATTTGTTCTGAACTTAAACTACAAGAAAATTAAACACAAAATGATACCAGAAATACCAAAACTTATTTATAAAAAGTTTTAAGAGAATTTCAGCAAAGGAAATACCTTTTTACTCATTATTGAAAAAGTTTAATAATAGATTCTATGTGAAAAATTATTTACAAAAAATAGTTAAGGAACTTATCGAGCATTTCAAACTGAACTTCTAGAACTCACACAAAAATTTATTATAAAAAAATTAAAAATGAATAATAATAGTTCCAAGTTTAACTAGGAAGTCCATGGAAGTTATGGATTGAATGGTCAATAACAACATTTGACAACATTTATTTATTACGGAAAGCTAGTAGTATACTATGCGACATTTAGAATATACGCACGTACAGTGCATGATGTTACGCCTAAGGGTAGTGTATAAACATAGGCTACAATCCAAAAATATCAGTGTAGACAACGCCGAGGTAGCATCTGCGAAACCTAACTAAGTAAGAAAAAGATTACAAATAAATAATGAAGGTCAGTTAGACTCCGGAAAATAATGGAAGAGACAGAGGCAATGGTTGAGTGTAAAAGCAGAAACCAAAAGCAAGAACCAAAATGGCTGTTAATGCAAGAAAGAAGTGAATCTGGAATAAACATCGTTGTATGAAATAACTGAAAAGCAAGTAAAAAAGGATAAACCAGAGAATTTTTCAATTTAACGAGTGAAAGTGGTGAGTTGAAGCTCTGTTCATAAGAACTATCATACATTTTAAGCCCTGTCGAATGCGAATATATTAACGTAATGACTATTAAAGATAAGCAAATAAGAGTTCGAAGGAAATACTTTGAATAAGTTTACACGAAGTGCAACCTTATAATATAAATTTCTGTAAGATATATACATTGTGACCGAAAAGTTTTCGGGAAATTTTAAATAAAACGCAAAATTCTTAATCTTCATCAATATTTATTTTATCTCCTTCAAAATATGCTCCATTAGAAGCGATACACAAATGCCAACGTTTCTTCCAATCATCAAAACATTTTTTATAGGCGCTTTCCGGTATGGCTTTGAGTTCCCTCTGCGAATTCTGTTTTACGTCTTCTATGGATTCAAAACGCGTTCCTCTGAGTGGTAATTTGAGGTTGGGAAACAGGAAAAAGTCACACGGTGCAAGATCAGGTGAATACGGTGGCTGTTCGATGGTATTTATTGAATGTTTGGCCTTAAAATCGTTGATAATGTTGAACAAATTGAGGTGAATCGGAACAAGCCGGGCGTTGACACGTCGCATACACAAATTGTCCACCAAAATCAAACGAGCCATCTCACGACCGATGCCTAGCTCTCGTGCTATCTCTCTAACACTCACATGAGGATTTTTGAACACGATTTCCTTTGCCTTTTCAATGTTTTCGTCGGTGGTAGAGGTCGAAGGTCGTCCAGAACGCGGCATGTCTTCGACGGTCGTACGACAGTCCTGAAAGGCTTTGTACCACTCATAAACTTGAGTTTTCGATAAAACTGATTCCCCATAAGCCTTTTGTAGCATTCGCAACGATTCTGCACACGAAATTTCGTTCGAAAAACAAAATTTGATGCAAACTCTTTGTTCAATATTTTTTTCCATTGTTTTTTTCGCAACGCACTACTGAGGTGAACTGGTTTCAACAGCTGCCGTAAACGAACTGTCCGAC